ATTAGTAAATTAAACTAGTATATAATAAAGATGAAACTGTAGATGCCAGAGTATGAACTAGGATTAGATACCCTATTACACCTGGGAGTAAAATTTAAATGCTTGAATATTAATAGTTATATTCTTTAAAATCAAAGAATTTGGCGGTATTTTAGTCTTGTTAGAGGAACTTGTTCTATAAACGATAAAACACGCAGAATCTTACTTATCTTGGTAAATTTTACAGTTTGTATACCGTCATTATTAAATAATCTTGAAAAAGTTAATTATTGGGATTAAAAAATTAAATATATTAGATCAAGGTGCAGCTGATAGATAAGTAGAAATGAGTTACAATAATATTTATTTATAACGGATTGAAAATAGAATTATTTTTAAAGAAGGTGGATGTAATTGTAAAAAAAGTTTAATAAGCTTTTTTGGTATAAGCTCTAAATTATGTACATATCGCCCGTCACTTTCATTTAAAATGAAATAAGTCGTAACATAGTAGGTGTACTGGAAAGTGTCCCTAGAAATAATCGAAATAAAGCTTTATAGTTTAGCATCTCACTTTCGTTGAGAAGGTTTATCGTGCAAATCGATTATATTTTGAGTATTATAAATCTTTGCTATTGTTATTTAGTGTTAAAATATAAATGAGAAAAATATTTTTATATAAAAAAAGTAAGTAGAAATCTAAAATTTTGAATCGAAAACTGAGATAAAGGCTAGAGTTAAAAGTATTGTAAAAGAATAGTGAAATAAATGAAAATTTAATAAGAAAGCAAAAGTAAATTTTTGTACCTTGTGTATCAGGGAAAATTAAAATTTTAAAAGTAGTTTTTTGATCCCGAAAAAGGAAGAGCTAAATTGATAAAAAGGTTATTGTGGCATAAATATCTTTAATATTAATTTAGTGGTGAAATGTTAAACGATTCCTTTGATATCTGGTTTTTAGAGAAATGAATTTATTTCAGTTTTAATATTTAAAAAAAATTAAATGTAAGAATAGGAGGGTTGAGCTTCTTATTCAAAATATAAAAAAGTATAGAAGAAATTTATTTAATAGTTGAATTAGGCTTAGAAGTAGCCATATGAATAAAGTGTTTTAACTAATTTTTGAGTTAAAGTTATTTATATTCTTCTTGTAGTTGTATCTAAAAATGTTGATAATCTTTGTATTTATAGATAAAATGATTTTATTAGTAGAAAATTTTGTAAATAGTAAAATATTAAAAAATTAATAAATTTTAAATATTGGTTGGTGTGGGTTAAGGAACTCGGCAAATAAAGCTTCTGCCTGTTTATCAAAAACATGTCTATATGATGGTTTATAAAGTCTAACCTGCCCACTGGGATCAAACTAAAGGGCCGCGGTATTTTAACCGTGCGAAGGTAGCATAGTCATTAGTCTCTTAATTGGAGGCTTGTATGAATGGTTGGACAAGAAGCAAACTGTCTCAAACACAAAAATTGAATTTGACTTTTAAATGAAAAGGCTTAAATATTTTAAAGGGACGATAAGACCCTATAAAGCTTAATAATTTAGTATATAATTAAATGAGTTGAAAGTTTAATATTATTTATATACTAAATTATTTCGTTGGGGCGACGATGATATAATTTGTAACTGTTTAAATTTAAAATAGAGATATTTGTGTGTAATGATCCTTGTTGTTGATTAAAAATTTAAGTTACTTTAGGGATAACAGCGTTATTTATTTTGAGAGTTCATATCGACAAAAAAGTTTGCGACCTCGATGTTGAATTAAAAATTCGCCATGGCGTAGGAGTTGTGGAGGTAGGTCTGTTCGACCTTTAAATTTTTACATGATTTGAGTTCAAACCGGCGTGAGCCAGGTTGGTTTCTATCTTTTAAGAAAACAAAAATTACTTTAGTACGAAAGGATTTAGTAATTAAAATAATTTTTAAGTATAGATTAACTACATTACTTTGGCAGATGTGATGCGTTAGACTTAGGATCTAATTAGATAGAGTTTTCTATAAGTAATAAAAATTTATTTAAACATATTTGAATAAAATTGTTTGTGATGGCTTTAGTTATATTTGTGAGTTATTTAATTTTAATTATTTGTGTTCTTGTGGGTGTTGCATTTGTTACTTTGTTAGAACGTAAAATTTTAGGGTATATTCAAATTCGTAAAGGACCAAATAAAGTTGGCTTTATTGGACTGCTACAACCCTTTGCGGATGCTGTGAAGTTATTTACTAAAGAGCAAACGGTACCTGTAAAATCTAATTTTCTTCCATACTATGCTTCACCTGTTTTTAGTTTGTTTACTGCATTGATTGTATGGTTAGTAATTCCTTATGAAATTGGAATAATAAATTTAAATATAGGAGTACTTTTTTTCTTGTGTTGTTTAAGATTAGGTGTTTATTCAACTATAAGAGCTGGTTGGGCTTCTAATTGTAAATATTCTTTGTTAGGTAGGCTCCGGGCTGTTGCTCAGACTATTTCTTATGAAGTTAGTCTTGCTTTAATTTTGCTTTCTTTTATTTTTTTAGTGGGAGGTTTTAGTTTAGAACTTTTTAATTTATACCAAGAAAGTGTGTGATTTTTGTGGGTCACATTTCCGTTAGCTTTAATTTGGTTTGCTTCTTGTTTAGCTGAGACAAACCGAACTCCTTTTGATTTTGCGGAAGGCGAATCTGAGCTAGTGTCTGGGTTTAACACCGAGTACAGAAGAGGTGGTTTTGCTTTAATTTTCATAGCTGAGTACGCTAGAATTTTGTTTATAAGAGCGCTGTTCGCATTATTATTTTTAGGTGGTGGTCCTTCTAGTCCCCTTTTTTATGCAAAGCTGGTAGGAGTAAGATTCGCATTTATTTGAGTTCGAGGAACTCTTCCTCGTCTTCGTTACGATAAGTTAATAGGATTAGCTTGAAAAAGATTTTTACCAGTTTCTCTTAATTATTTAATTTTTTTCATGGGGATAAAAATACTATGTTATTGTTCTATAATTTAGTTTATAACTAATTTAGTATATTGAAAATGTTATGATAGTTAAGACGTTTTAGTGTCCTTATTGATGTTTTCAAAACATCTGTTTTAAATAAACTAAACTATCAATCAAGCAGTTTATCTCACAATAAAAGTGAAAGAGGATTGACAATGTAGTAAAGGAAATACACTACTGTTAGAATTTGCCCTGTAATAACAAAAGGATCCTCAACAGGTCGAGCTCCAATTCAGGTTAGAAGAATAACAATTGCAATTAAAGATCAAAATAAAATTTGATTTAAAGGATAAAAAGTTAATCTTCGAAATTTAGAAGTATGGGTAAAAGGTAAAATTATTAAAATTGCGATTGATATAGCCAGGGCGATTACTCCTCCTAATTTGTTTGGAATTGATCGCAAGATAGCATATGCAAATAAAAAGTATCATTCAGGTTGAATATGTGCTGGTGTAACTAGTGGATTAGCCGGGACAAAGTTGTCAGGGTCTCCAAGAAGGTAGGGATTTAGAAGAGTCAATAAAATTAATGCGGTTAGTATAACTATAAATCCAACAACATCTTTAAAAGTGAAATAAGGATGGAATGGAACTTTATCAATATGTCTTGCAATTCCAAGTGGGTTGTTAGCTCCAGTTTGATGAATAAATAAGATATGGATAAGAGTCGCTGCTGCTACTAAAAATGGTAATAAAAAATGAATTGTAAAAAATCGAGTTAGCGTTGCATTATCAACTGCAAATCCACCTCAAATTCATTGTACAAGTTCAGTCCCAATATAAGGGATAGCAGAAAAAAGATTAGTAATAACTGTTGCACCCCAGAATGATATTTGACCCCAAGGTAAAACATAACCTAGAAAAGCTGTTGCTATAACTATGAATAAAATAACAACACCTACTATTCAAGCATGAAAAAATAAGTAGGATCCATAATACATACCACGTCCAATATGTAAGTAAAGGCAAATAAAGAAAAAGGAAGCTCCATTAGCATGGAGTGTTCGAAGAAGTCACCCGTAATTTACATCTCGACAAATATGGGCAACACTTGAGCAAGCTAAATCAATATGAGCAGTATAGTGTATAGCAAGAAAAAGACCAGTAACAATTTGGACAACTAAGCATAAGCCTAATAAAGATCCAAAATTTCAGAATGTTGAAATATTTCTTGGAATAGGTATATCTACTAAAGCTCCGTTAGCAATTTTAAAAAGGGGATGGCTTTTGCGAATAGGTGTCGTCATTAATAGGATAGTCGAAGTGGTCTTGAATAAAGATTAACAATTTTTACAATAACGATAAGAGTCAATAGGAGATAAAGGACTATAAATAAAGTAAAAGATATTGTTGGAGGTCTATAAATAGTTCTTACTAGAGTAGAAGTAGTATCAAGTGAAAATATATCTGAAGAAATCGCTGATCTAATAATAGAAATATCGGGAGTAATATAAAGAGGGTCTTTTAGTATTATAAAAATTGTCAAAAATAAAGAAAATCTTGAAATAACTATTAGAGCTGTAGCTGAAAATTTGAATGGTTCGTTAGAAGCAAGTGAGGCAACATAAATAAATAACACTAGTATAGCTCCTAAAAAAATAAGAAAAAGAATGTATGAAAATCAAAAAGAGTTGTTGTTCAACCCTGCAGCAAGCGAAATCATAACAGTTTGTATCAATAATGTGAGACCTATAGATAAAGGATGAATAAGACGTGTAAAAAGTAATGAAGTTACAAAAATAAGAGGAAGAATAAAAAATAAGATTTCAGAGAGTAGTTTAATAAAATATTAGTTTTGGGAATTAAAGATAAAAGTTTACTTTTTTCTCTGAAGTTTTAAGAAAATAAATTTCATTTTTGGTTTACAAGACCAAAGTTTTGGTTTAAACTATTAAAACTAATGTCAATTCTTAGATTAATATTTATTTTTGTTCCTCTTGTCGTTGTTTTCTGTGGGTTATGAAATTTTGTTTCTAACCGAAAACATTTACTTAGTCCTTCTAAGTTTAGAATTTATTATATTAGGCATTTTTTGAGTCATAGTAATTTGTTTAGCTAAAGTAGGAATCGAAGCTTATTTTACTTTATTTTTTTTAACTATAGCAGCTTGTGAGGGTGCTTTGGGTCTTTCTTTATTGATTTCTATTGTGCGGACTCACGGTAATGATTGTTTCAGAAGTTTTAGAACATTACAATGTTAAAGTTCATTTTTATAAATATTTTATTGATTGCGTTTGTTAAAGAGTGGTGGTTTATTCAAATTTCTTTGTTTTTAATGTGTTTTATTTTTAGGTGTTTTATGGGACATGACTTTTCTGTTTCGGGGTTGGGATTAAGATTAGGTTCTGATCATTTAGGTTTTATTTTAATTATATTAAGAATATGAATTATGGCACTAGTCATTTGTGCAAGTCAAAGAATTAAAAAAACAAATAACTCTCCTAGAGGGTTTTTAGTTGTAAATTTACTATTGCTGTTAGCATTGCTTTTAACGTTTAGAGCAACAGATTATCTCTTGTTTTATATTAGATTTGAAAGATCTTTAATTCCTACTTTAATTTTAATTTTAGGCTGGGGTTATCAACCTGAGCGAATTCAGGCTGGAGTTTATATGTTATTTTATACATTGTTTGCTTCTTTGCCTTTGCTTGTTTCTCTATTAAGATTTTATAGATTGGGTGGTAGTCTAACGATAGGTTTAGTACCATGCGCTGAAAGATCTAATTTTATTACTTTTATGTGGTATTTTTGTACAATTTTTGCTTTTGTAGTAAAACTTCCTATATATCTAGTTCATTTATGACTTCCTAAGGCTCATGTTGAAGCTCCTGTAGCTGGATCTATAATTTTGGCTGGTGTTTTATTAAAATTAGGTGGTTATGGTTTGATTCGAGTTCTCTTTTTATTTCCTGAAGTAAATAAAATATTTTCTTGATTTTGAGTTAGTGTTAGAATTTTAGGTGGGGTAATTGTAAGATTTATATGTTTACGTCAAGTAGATATTAAGTCATTGATTGCTTATTCTTCAGTAGCCCATATAGGCTTGGTATTGAGAGGACTAGTGGTTTTTGGTTGATGGGGTCAAACAGGAGCTGTAGTAATTATGGTGGGGCATGGATTATGTTCGTCTGGACTTTTTTGTCTTGCTAACATAGTTTACGAGCGTTTAGGAAGTCGAAGATTATTAGTGAATAAAGGTTTATTGAATTTTATACCTAGTTTGGGATTGTGGTGATTTTTATTAAGAATTGGTAATATAGCAGCTCCCCCTACAATTAACTTATTAGGAGAAATTAGACTAATTTTAAGTGTAGTAAGGTGAAGAAAGCTTAGCATGTTTGGGATTGGTTTATTGTCTTTTTTTAGAGCTGCGTACACTTTATATATATATTCGATAAGACAGCATGGGTTGTTTTTTAATTCATTGTTTTCTTGTTGTTCGGGAAAAGTTTCTGGATACTTAGTTTTAATATTACATTGATTGCCTTTAAATGTTCTTATTGTAAAAACGGCTATAATTTTACCAAGATTTTAGTTTAAATAGTTTAATAAAAACGTTGGTTTGTGGTGCCGAAATTATAAGTTATTTATTTTAAACCGTGATTTGATATATTACTATACATTTAACTAGATTGGTATTTTTATGTAGAAGAGCTTTTAGTTGTATTTTGTTATCTCATATAAGTTTATATTATAACAGTGTGACAATAATTGAATGGGAAATTATAACTTTAAACTCTTCTTCAGTCGTAATGACTTTAATTTTTGATTGAATTTCTTTCATATTTTTAGGATTTGTACTTTTTATCTCTTCAATAGTGTTATTTTACAGAGGTGATTATATAGAAGGAGACAAAAGATTTAATCGCTTCATATATTTAGTTCTTGCTTTTGTATTGTCTATAGGTGCTTTAATTGTAAGGCCAAATATAATTAGAATTTTGTTAGGTTGGGACGGGCTAGGTTTAGTATCATACGCATTAGTTATTTTTTACCAAAATGAAAAATCTGCAAATGCAGGAATACTAACAGTTTTGTCTAACCGGGTTGGTGACGTTGCTATTCTTCTTAGAATCTCTTTAATATTTATAGCAGGGGGTTGAAATTTTATTTTATATAGAAGGTACATAAGGGATTCTAATTTGTTATTAATAAAATGTTTAGTTGTCATAGCAGCTATAACAAAAAGGGCACAAATCCCCTTTTCTGCTTAGCTCCCAGCTGCCATGGCAGCTCCTACTCCAGTGTCTGCACTAGTTCATTCTTCTACTCTAGTTACGGCAGGTGTTTACTTATTAATTCGTTTTAGTCCAGCTTTAATAGGATCAGAAGCTCAATCTGTTTTATTAATTATTTCTTGTCTGACAATATTTATAGCAGGATTAGGGGCTAATTTCGAGTATGATTTAAAAAAGATTATTGCTTTATCAACATTAAGCCAACTTGGTGTAATACTAAGGATTTTAGCTCTTGGTTTTGCTGACTTAGCTTTTTTCCATTTATTAGCTCATGCTTTATTCAAGGCACTCTTATTTATATGTGCTGGAGTAGTCATTCATGCTGTAAAAGAATACCAAGATATCCGTTGTATAGGAAGATTAGTTTTTAGAATACCTTTAACTAGAACCTGTATAAATTTGGCTAATTTAGCTTTATGTGGAATACCATTTTTGGCAGGATTTTATTCTAAAGATTTAATTTTAGAAGTGGCTTTTATAAGAAATATTAATTTATTAGCTTTCGTTTTATATGCTTTGGCTACAGGATTAACTGTTTGTTATAGATTTCGTTTAGTTTATTATAGTTTGACGGGTCTATTTAATTTAAGGAGGATGAGTCAAGTTAACGATAAAAGTGTTGTTATAACTAGATCAATGATAAGATTGAGGATTGGCGGTGTCACGGGTGGAGCTTTTTTGTCTTGAGTGATCTTCCCTGAATCATATATAATTTGTTTAACTTTCACGTTTAAAGTGTTGGCTTTAGCATTAAGAGTGTTAGGGGCTTTAATTGGTTATCTTTTAAATATTATAAGTGTAAACTATAGGTTACGTAGATTAAAAAGTTATAGTAAAGTTGTGTTTATAGGGTCTATGTGGTTTATACCTTTTTTATCTACATTTAATTTGAGCTACGTTAGGTTAAAAACTGCAGGCGCATGTATGAAGGTTGGTGATTATGGATGATCCGAACATTTTGGGGGTCAAGGTTTGTATTCTAATGTTATACATCAATCAGGGTACCTTCAAGTTTCTCAAAGTAGAAGTGTAAGAATTTATATAAAAAGGTTTTTATTTTGAGTAATTGTTGTATTTTTTATCATAATTTACTTATATAATTTAAGATTAGAATTTTGCTTTGAAGCAGCAACGGTGGCAAATTTGCCTGTAAGTAACAATTTCATAACCAAAATCTAATTTTTTTGTAATTAATTAAAATTTTTAGAAGTTAGTACTTCAGTTCTACAACGAAAATGTAGCGTGTTATTTACACTATAAAAAAGAAACATAAACGGAATTCAACCGCTTAAAATGAAGTTAGAAGCTTCTTTTTTTGGCATGAATATTTCCTTGAAAGGGATAAAAAATCCAGTTTCATCATTAACAGTGATGGGCCTCTATTTTGGCTTCTTTCAAAGATTAAAGACCTGCAACAGATCAAAGCTTAGGCCGAAACTAAGTGCAATACTTCGCTTTTTAATCTTAAAGCTAGTTTATAAAAAACACCTTATGAATGCAACTCATAAATCATAAATTGAATATAGCTCTAATAGGATCATTCTAAGGCACCTTGGTGTCATTCATAGTAAAGTCCAAAAAGCAGAATTAATAAAAATAAAACCCCAGTGAGGGCCCAAGAAAATATGTTTGTTAAGTGAATAATTGAGGCAAGGGGAAGCAAAAGAGTAATTTCTACATCAAAAATCAAGAAAATAACTGCAATTAAAAAGAATCGTAAAGAAAAAGGAAGTCGTGCTGAGCCTTTAGGATCAAATCCACACTCAAATGGGGAATTTTTTTCTCGATCTGTAATAAGTTTTTTTGACAAAATCGAGGCAGGGATTATAACTACAGATCTAATTACAAAAGTTGTTGAAACTACAATAAATATAATGAAAATTAATTTTTCTAGAAATTCTAGACTTTTTGGTTGGAAGCCAAATATACTTGTTATATTAAAAAATTAATTAACCTCCTCATCAATAGATAAAGATATATAAAAATAACCAAACAACATCTACAAAGTGTCAGTATCAAGCAGCTGCTTCAAAACCAAAATGATGGTCTGAAGAAAAATGACATTTATAAAGTCGGTAGAAACAAACAGCTAAAAAGGAAGTCCCAATAATAACATGAAGCCCATGAAAACCAGTTGCTACAAAAAAAGTAGATCCATAAACAGAATCTGCAATTGTAAAAGAAGCTTCTGCATATTCGAAAGCTTGAAGAGCTGAAAAATATAATCCTAAAAAAATAGTTAAAGCAAGACTTTGAATTGCTTCTGAGTGATTTGACCTTGTAATAGCATGATGGGCTCATGTTACGGTAGCTCCTGATGACAAAAGAATAGTTGTATTTAAAAGCGGAATTTGGAAAGGATTAAAAGGTTGGATACCAACTGGTGGCCAACATATTCCAATTTCAATTGTTGGAGAAAGTCTTCTATGAAAAAATGCCCAAAAAAAAGAAAAAAAGAACAATACTTCTGATACAATAAAAAGAATTATCCCCCAACGAAGCCCTTTTATTACAACTTGGGTGTGGAGCCCCTGGTAGGTCCCCTCACGTGTTACATCTCGTCATCATTGAATTATTGTTAAAATAGTAGCTAAAAATCTTAGCAGGAGCAAGTCTATATTAAATTGGTGAAATCATTTAACAAGCCCTGTGGTTAGTATTATGGCTCTCACTGATCCTGTTAAAGGTCAGGGTCTTATATCAACTAAGTGGTAAGCGTGGTGTCCGTGTGATGATGACATTAGTTAACTTCTCTGGCATATAAAGTCCTTAGAACAGCAAATACATACGATTGAATTATTGTAACAGCAGATTCTAGTATTAAAAGAAGGATTTGAGCTAGTATTAAAAACGACACTAAAGTCAAAGACAAAGAAGGGCCTATATTGCCTAAAAGTGTCAACAAAAGATGTCCTGCAATTATGTTAGCTGCTAGTCGAACGGCTAAAGTTCCTGGTCGAATAATATTTCTTAAAGTTTCTACTAACACTATAAATGGTATCAGAAGCCCTGGTGTTCCTTGGGGAACTATATGAGCAAGCATGTGTTGGGTATGATTAATCCAACCAAATAAAATAAAAGTTAGCCATAAAGGTAAAGCAAGCGTAAGAGTTATCGCAAGGTGTCTTGATCTAGTAAATACATATGGGAGAAGCCCGAGAGTGTTATTGAATATAATAAATCTAAATAAAGAAATGAATAAAATAGTTGAACCTTTAGTGGCTTGCCCTAAAATTGCTTGAAATTCATTGTGAAGTAGTTGCATAATTTTGGATCAAACTAATGCTCAACGTGAGGGAGCCGCTCAATAAAGGTAGGGAATAAAAAGTAACCCAACAAAAGTTGATAATCAATTGATTGATAATGAAAAGATTCTTGAAGAAGGTTCAAAAATAGAAAATAGTCTTGTTATCATTTTCAGGTTTTTTGGTGTTGAACTTTTAGTTCAATTGAAGGGGACATTTTAAGTGGAGATTTTATAAAATAGTTTAGAATAAAAAACAAAAGAAACCCAATAAGAAATATAAAAAATAGATTTAATCATAAAAGAGGTGCTATTTGAGGCATCAAAAAATATTCCAGTGGAATTACTTAAGCTTGACAAGCTCATATTATTAATTAACTAACTTTTTCCACCAGAAGTAGGCGCCTCTACTATGATAGGTTTAAAAGACCTATACTTGCTTTCAGTCATCGGGTGATAGATCGGATGAGGAGGAGATTCAATTTAAAAAAGCTGAGACTGACACACTTTCTACTACAATTGGTATAAATCTATGGTTAGCTCCACAAATTTCTGAGCATTGCCCAAAAAACAATCCTGGTCGGTTAACCATAAATCTAATTTGGTTAAGACGGCCGGGAATTGCATCTGCTTTTACTCCCAGAGCTGGAACAGTTCAAGAATGAATAACATCAGCAGCGGTGACTAACATTCGAACTTGTGTGTTTATAGGTAATACAGTTCGGTTGTCTACGTCTAAAAGTCGAAATCCAGATAAATCTAGTTCGTTAGATGGAGTTATATAGGAGTCAAATTCTACTTTGTTATACTCGATCAAGGACTTTGTTATCCTCGATCAGGGGACTTTGTTATACTCAATGAGCGGGCTTTGTTATACTCGATCAGGGGACATTGTTATAGCCTTTTAGGGTCCTTTGTTATACTCGATCAGGGGCCTTTGTTATACTCGTTTAGGGGACTTTGTTATACTCGATCTAGGGCCTTTGTTATACTTGATCCGGGACTTTGTTATATTCGACCAGGGGACTTTGTTATACTCGATCAGGGGACTTTGTTATACTCGATAAGGGGACTTTGTTATACTCGATGAGGGGACTTTGTTATACTCGATCAGGTGACTTTGTTATACTCGATCAGGAGAATTTGTTATACTCGATCAGGGGACTTTGTTTTACTCGATCAAGGACTTTGTTATCCTCGATCAGGGGACTTTGTTATACTCGATGAGCGGGCTTTGTTATACTCGATCAGGGGACATTGTTATAGACTTTTAGGGTCCTTTGTTATACTCGATCAGGGGCCTTTGTTACTCGTTCAGGGGACTTTGTTATACTCGACCAAGGGATTTTGTTATACTCGATCTAGGGCCTTTGTTATATTTGATCAGGAGACTTTTCTATACTCGACCTGGGAACATTGTTATACTCGATCAGGGGACTTTGTTATACTCGATCAGGGGGCTTTGTTATACTCGATCAGTGAACTTTGTTATACTCGATCAGGGAACTTTGTTATACTCGACCTGGGGACTTTGTTATACTCGATCTGGAGCCTTTGTTATACTTGATCAGGGGGCTTTGTTATACTCGATCAGGGGACTTAGTTATTCTCGATAAGGGGGCCTTTGTTATACTCGATCAGGTGACTTTGTTATACTCGACCAGGGGACTTTGTTATACTCGATCAGGGGCCTTTGTTATACTTGATTCGATTCGGGGGCTTTGTTATACTCGATCAGAGGACATTGTTATTTTCGATAAGGGGGACTTTGGTATACTCAATTAGGGGGCTTTGTTATACTCGATCAGGGAACTTTGTTATACTCGATCAGGGGCCTTTGTTATACTCGTTCAGGCGCTTTTGTTATATTCGATCAGGGGGTCTTTGTTATACTCGATCAGGGGCCTTTGTTATAATCGTTCAGGGGACTATGTTATACTCGAACAGGGGACCTTGTTATACTCGATCAGGGGACTTTGTTATACTCGATCAGGGGACTTTGTTATTTTCGATGAGGGACTTTGTTAATCTCGTTCATGGGACTTTGTTATACTCGATGAGGGGCCTTTGTTATACTCGATGAGGGGACTTTGTTCTACTCGATCAGGGGAATTTGTTATACTCGATCAGGGGAATTTGTTATATTCGATGAGGAGACTTTTTTATACTCGATCATGGGACTTTGTTATTTTCGATGAGGGACTTTGTTATTCTCGATCATGGGACTTTGTTATACTCGATGAGGGCCTTTGTTATACTCGATGAGGGGCCTTTGTTATACCCGATCAGGGGACTTTGTTATAATTGATCAGAGGACTTTGTTAAACTCTATGAGGGGGCTTTGTTATCCTCGATCAGGGAACTTTATTATACTCGGTGAGGGGACATTGTTATACTGGATCAGGGGACTTTGTTTTACTCGATGAGAGGGCTTTGTTATACTCGATCAGGGGACTTTGTTATACTCGATCAGGGGCCTTTGTTATACTCGATCAGGGGCCTTTGTTATACTCGATCAGGGGACTTTGTTATACTCGACCTGGAACTTTGTTATACTCGATTTGGAGCCTTTGTTATACTTGATCAGGGGGCTTTGTTATACTCGATCAGGGGACTTAGTTATTCTCGATAAGAGGGACTTTGTTATACTCGATGAGGGGGCTTTGTTATACTCGATCAGGGAAATTTTGTTATACTCAATCATGGGCCTTTGTTATACTCGACCAGGGGACTTTGTTATACTCGACCAGGGGACTTTGTTATACTCGATTAGGGGCCTTTGTTATACTTGATCAGGGGGCTTTGTTATACTCGATCAGGGGACATTGTTATTCTCGATAAGGGGGG